CAGGCACGATTTCCTTGAGTCCAATTCCTTGTTCAGTACTGCAGTCCAGTTTAGTTATGGATCACTAGGTATTTGCAATTTGTTTGTTTGTTGTTTTTTTTTTTTAATCTGCAGCTAGAAGACAATTCATCTAAAGATTTGATTAAAACAGAGTTGGTTAGAGCTTGTAGGATCAGCCTCGTCAAAGAATCTAAATCATTCCTTGTATTTGAAGTGCCAAAGTCCAACACCCTAAGACTGCACCAGGCAAAAGCAAACGATGGCAAGGAATACAGAGAGATGGTGGGTGGGATCCAGGGCGTCAGACGGTGACAGTGCTGGGAACCTCCTCGTAGTGAATGATGAAGTAGGGGTAACTCTGGTCATCGTTGAAGATGACGTAAATCTGGGGGTCCATCCAGTTGTCCACGCAGGAGTCATAGAGGTCACTGGAGGGGTCTCGAGGGTTGAGGGGCGGAGGTCGTCGCATGGATGGATTTCCTACAGTAAACCTGTACAGACACAACAGACAAACTGTCAGTGATTGGATCATGAGGCGTTTCATGTTGAAGCAGGTTTAAATTTCATTTTTGTATTTCTACATATTTCTATTCACTTTTTGTTTTTTAAATCACAAAACACGGTGATTTCATTATTAACATCTGTGACGTCATAAGTACGTTTCACTGAAACACAACAGACGTGGCCTCGGTGGAGTTACTCCAACCAGGCCTGGAGCGTTGTCTGTGACTGCACTGTGGAACAGATTGAGGTCAGGCTTGGAGAGAACGAGGGGGAGACGGGGGGGAGACGGGGGGCGGGAGTTTCCAAATCACTGCACCAAAGAATGTCTGCTGCTTTCTAACAAAGCTCGTGATTGGCTGGATTAGAACTGTTTTATCCAATTCTCATCTTTTGAATTTTTTTACATTGAAGTGAAACTAGAAGGATTTCATTGACCCCCCCCCCCCCCCCCCCCCCGCCTCTTCTTCTTTCCTACCTTCCAGTGAGGACTTTGGCCAGGAACATGCAGTGGACACCCTTGGAGGACCGCTTGGAGAAGTTGTGGGAGTAAACAGCCTTACGGGCGAAGTAGGAGCCCTGGCCGAACATGGTGGCGTGTTTTCCGCAGACTCGCGGGTCAAAGTTGTGCTTGCAGATGCCGTCCACCACATCCGCCGAGGTGCCGTGGAAGAGGTGGCGCTCACAGAGCAGCCGGTCCATCTCTGACAGACGTCGGGACATGTACTCCTTTTTTCTGTGTGATCACAAAGACAGACAGAGCGATGAGTCGTCCGTTCATCTGTCGTGACACTGCCGTCTACTTGTGTTTTCACTTTTACCCCTTTACCCCACTTTGAAATATTATATATATATATATATATAACATATGATTACTACTACTACTACAAGTTCTAAATGTAAACGTGTTACTCTTGTTGATGTAAATGTTGGTTTAACTTCAGTCTGTTCATTTATGTGGGATATTCCATCTGTGTAAATAGCACCCCCTGCAGATCGACCTGCACCAGCTTTAGTAGTTCAGCTTGAATGTTATTTCATCATGTTGGTGTTTGGACAGTGGCTACGAAGATTTAAGAGAAAGATTTCTTCCTTTACTTGTTCTATAATTGGTGAACCAACTAATCCATTAACTAATCCATTAATTTAACGTAAAACACGAAAGCATCAACTCACACACACACACTCACTCACACTCACTCACACGCAGCTTGTTTGACGTGAGCGGATCAATCAGGCATGCAGAGGCGAAAGCGTTTTAAGCCAGACAGGCTGTGACCCAGGCGCGACCTCCTGTGACCCTGCAGCTCGTGACCTGACACAGACTGACACTGAATGCATCCAAGCACGCACACACGAAGGCCTGAACACACACACACACACATATAATAAAACTGAACTGAAGTTCCTTTGATTGACAGCCTTCTCTCATTCACACCCCCCCCCCCCACACACACACACCCACACACATAGTGAAACTGTGTGTCGGCAGCGTGGGCTCCTGCTGTCGCAGCAGTCTGAACCTCTGTGCTCGACCACAGTGGTTAGCCCACGTCTTCGCTGCAGGAACCTGATCGTCACCAAAGTCTCCGTCTGTCACGACTACGCAGCAACGCGGAGCCGTTCTCACGCACCGTCACGCAGCTGCTCTCACCTGGCCTACTTTGTCGTCTTATCATCCTCGACACGTAGATACTGAGTAAAAGCTACGACTGAACTTCCTCTCACAGCAGAAACACCACGTCTGGTGTCTCCACGCTCTCCCCTAATCTGCCAACTCCTCTGTTACGGAGCTAAATCAGAAACTGTCCACCGGTGCAGGTCACATCACCGAGTCACTGCTGAGGACTAGTGTTCAAATCCCCTAAATGTTGAGTCAAGGAAAAGACCAAGGAAACGACCAAGGAAACGACCAAGGAAACAACCAAGGAAACAACCTAGGAAATGACCAAGGAAACGCCAAGGAAACAACCAAGGAAACACCAAGGAAAAGACCAAGGAAACGACCAAGGAAACGACCAAAGAAACACCAAGGAAACACCAAGGAAACGACCAAGGAAACCCCAAGGAAACACCAAGGAAACACCAAGGAAACACCAAGGAAACACCAAGGAAACGACCAAGGAAACGACCAAAGAAACACCAAGGAAACACCAAGGAAGCAACCAAGGAAACACCAAGGAAACAACAAGGAAACAACCAAGGAAACACCAAGGAAAAGACCAAGGAAACGACCAAGGAAACGACAAAGGAAACAACCAAGGAAACAACCTAGGAAATGACAAAGGAAACGCCAAGGAAACAACCAAGGAAACACCAAGGAAACGCCAAGGAAACAACCAAGGAAACACCAAGGAAACAACAAGGAAACGACCAAGGAAACGACCAAAGAAACACCAAGGAAACACCAAGGAAACCACCAAGGAAACAACCAAGGAAACAACCAAGGAAACACCAAGGAAAAGACCAAGGAAACGACCAAGGAAACGACCAAGGAAACGACAAAGGAAACAACCAAGGAAACAACCTAGGAAATGACAAAGGAAACGCCAAGGAAACAACCAAGGAAACACCAAGGAAAAGACCAAGGAAACGACCAAGGAAACGACCAAGGAAACACCAAGGAAACGACCATCGAGGCACATTTCAATTGAAGAAATGAAACAGAAACAAAGCATTTTAAAAAAACCTCCGGTGAGTCAGGATGGTGGGGGGTCGGGGGGGGGGGGGGTCAACTCACCTCTTGTACTTCTCCCAGAGGAAGGGGTTTTGAACACGCAGGATCTTGATGATCCTGTACTTGGTCTCCAACACGGTCTTGTGGAAAAGGCTGTACACTGTGCGGTAGCTGCGGTCTTCACGAGAAACTGGAACCTGAAGAAAGTCCTGGTTCATCATCATAGGCAGCCAGGTCTCTGGAAAAAGGCTGGGCGGGTTGGTGGTGGTGGGGGAGAGCGGATGTGACGAGGACAGGTCCACGGATGAGGAGGACAACGACAAGGAGGACGAGGAGGACGAGGAGCAAGGAAGAGATGGTAAGGAGAGGCCGCCCAGTGTCCTGCAGGGAGAAGCACAGCAGCAGGAGTCAATTAGTGAGAGAGAAGAACATGGTGACCACACTAATGTCCAAAACTAAACAAAAAGCTGCTCTGGTCTTTGAATGAAATCCACCAACCGTCAGTTGAAGGAACAGCTCAAACAAACAAAACAACAGTCGAGTGTCAACGAGACGACGATGAAGGAAGAATGAAGCGTCAGGCGTGGAGCTGTCACAGCCGTCACAGAAACGCCGCGTCTGACGTTTCAGTCAATAACACCGGTTTTACTGTCGAGTTATCGCTCAGCGTGTAAACGCCGCCAGCTCCGTAAACCACAGAACGACATCAGTGTGACTCTGAGCTGGTGCCAACACCCCCTCCGCCACCCCCCCCATCCAGCTCGATCTCTCCATTCAATCAATGAGTCTGTTCCCGGTGTGGTTTGAAAGACGGCGGCTGCAGAAAACTAAAGTGTTAAATGAAAAGAGGAGAAATAAAAAAAAGGGAGTGATGGGAGTTTGGGGGAGAGATGGAGAGAAAAGGTGGAAGATTAAAACATAATGAGGGAGGAAAAGTGGGAGAAGATGAGTGAAAATAACAGCATCAGCAGGAGGAGAGACAAAGAGACGGAGGGAGCTGACGGAAGGAGAGGAAGAGGGGGGGGGAGGAAGTGAGGGTAGAGTGCCAATCAAGCTGATGACCTCAGCCTCTTAGCCCGGCACACGGTGTTCCTGGCACACACACACACACACACGTCTCTATTCTGTCACTTGTCATGACATTGGTTGACAGTGGAAGCTGCGCTCGTCACCACATTTAAAAGAAAAGTGAGAAATTAAATTTCACATCAATAAATCTCTTTCTCCAAATTCCATTTTCAGTTGTTATGAATTATTTTATTTATTTATTTCAAGGACAGCTCACGTTCAGATGTTCTTTTGTGAACTGTATGGTTTGTTGAAAGATGTGATTAAATTTGGTGCAAAATGCAACTGACAGCGTGCGTTTGTCTCGGTCAGCCTCAACATCAATCTGTGACTGTGTGTGTGTGAGTCCAAGTTTTTCTGTCTGCTGTCGACACAGCCGTCCCTGCAGGAACAGCTTGTACTTGTGTTCCCAGTGTGTGGGATACTGGCAGGACAATGCTGGAGCGGCGCGCTCTGCCGAGGAAGAAGGAAAAGAAAAAAAAGAAAAAAAGAAGAAGAAGAAGAGGGAGAAGTGTAAATGGGACAAGACTCTCTTCCATGTTTCCAATCTGGTAACACTGATTCCTGGCGTTAGCTTCTAGGACGTAGCTGAGGGACCGTCCAGTCTAAATGTGCTCTCTCTCTCTCTCTCTCTCTCTCTCTCTCTGGGTCTCATCTGTCGGCCCGCCAGGTTCTGGTTCTGGTTCTGGTTCAGACCTGCTGGGCTGGACACACAGCGGCTCCGTGTCCTGGTGACGCGGCTTGATGTGAATATTGTTTTCTACTTCTTCTCAGTCAGTGTTCAACGTTAGCACCGTGTTCCGACCTCCGTGTGCCCGCCCGTCCACAGGAACAGGAACTCAGGGCACGGAGAGAACACGGAGAGAACACGGAGAGAACACGGAGAGCCACAGGAAGAGCTCACCGCGTGAGGAAGAGCGACTATTAAGGACTTCACGCAGGGAAGAAAGGTGGGAGGAAGGAGGGGTGAGGGTGGGAGGGAACATCAAGGTTGTGGGTGACCTCAGTGACCTCAGTGACCTCAGTGACCCTGCCATGTTATGATCATTCATAATAGTTGAAAGACTTCAAACGCACTGATTATAAATAATAAGCTGCTCTGCAGCGGCGTCAAACTCTGTCTGTGGCTCTGGATCAACTGACAAATGGACAGACTGACAAACAAGCAGTTCTACAAACACTGCTAACAATTCACCAGAAAAACGTCTGCAGATTATAATCATAATAATATAATCATAATAATGACGTCATTTGGATTAGTCACAAAATAAAACAGGACAGAATAAAGAAAGGAAGAAAAAGTGAAGAATGTAAATGTTGAAGTTCATTAAAAACTGTACGGTGGTCAATTTGTCGTTGTTTTTCAGTTTCATCTGATGATGTCATAGACTGTGACGTTTCTGTAAAACAACAGTTGAACTCACTGAAGATGAGGCATCAGCATCACCGAGGACAGGAACATGGGCCGTTTTCGGATCTGCCGTCTGAATCCAAAGATGGCGTTCTGCTGGAAGCCCTCCTTGATGTTGAGGATATACTGGTTCTGGAGTGTAATAAAGCGCACCTCCTTCAGACCACGGGAACTGGCCTCCTCGATGAGCTTCACCACAGGCTGCGGAGGAGAGAAGAACTGAGTCTAGAAGGATCCGTGTTCGTTCTTTCACAGCAGCACAGTCGTCATCAGAACAGAACAGACAAAAACACACACGTCTGTGAAAATACAGAGGTACAGTAGACCAGCAGGACAGTCTGGCCTGGACGGTTGGTCTGACCTCTGACCTCTGACCTCACCTCAGAGTACTCCCTCCAGCCAAAGTTGTCTCTGCAGTAGTACTTCCACACTGTGTGACAGCTGGGTGGGGGGTTTGGGCTGGTGGTGGATGTGGTCATGGGAGTGGGGGGAGTGGTCAATCGTCTGATGCGGTCAAACTCCAAATCACACACTCGCATTGCACCAAAGTCCAGAGAAAACACTCTTCCCCTGAAACAGAAAAGTCACAGCCGATGTTAGAAATCTGAGTCCAGACATTTAAATAAGAACTGAACGTCAAAGTCCAATCAGACATTTTTGTCCAAAGACAAACTCCGCTCACTCTCACAGTTGATAATGAGTGATGAAATCGACAGATACAGAGCAGACGTTAACCAACCTCGAACAAAACAGAAAACAGTTGAAATCCTGACACGTGCAGTTTTCAACTGAAACCATTTTCAACTTTTTTTTTTAACAGAGAAAAAAAAACTTCATCGTAACCAAAACCAACGTTACAGCAGTCGCCAGAAGATGTTCCCTGATCTGACACCCCCCTCCCCCCCCGGTCTGTGTACTGGTCGACTACGCCTCGGTCAAAGTACATGATACTGGGAAGTCTAAAAGTGTCCAGTTTCACGTCCTGTCAGCTCCACTCAGCTGAACACAGATGGTCGGACGAGGAGCAGTGAAACCAGAGTTGTTGAGTCATTTTACCGACACACACACACACACACTGATTTCATACGCTGCATTTACAGGTTGTAATTCTGCAGCGTCAGTGTGAGTGTGTGTCGGTGAAAGAGGAAGTGAAACGAGAGTTCATTCAACAAACACGTGCAGAAACAAAACAGTTAGTGTGAGCCGCGAGTCACCGCCGGAGCAGAAGACGGAGCAGAACCAACAGGGAAGTAAAGTCAACTGCCTGTCATCGTGACACACCACTGCACCACTGCACCACTGCACCAACCAACTGTGACCTCTGGGGGCAGCTTCGAGAGCCCAGGGAGCAGTGTGTGGGTTTGAACCTCAAACCTTCCAGACCCAAGGCCGCTTCCTTAACCACTGAGCCACCACTGCCCCGTCGTCCACTGGACTTTCAGAAACTCTCTCAAACATCCGAGCTGGTCCGACGCCAAAGTAAACCCAGAAACAAACCTGGGTCTGGGCCCAGAGAACTGGGAACTGAAACACTGAGCTCAGACAAAGCGGGTGTGAAGTCACAGTTTGTCTCTGAATGGACCGGTCCGTGTCCTCAGGACATTCTGGTCTCACTCTGTTCCTCCAGTTCTCTCTGTTCTCTGTTCCACTGTCAACACACACTCGTGTGTTCTCTTTTTCTTTCTTCTTTTTCAAGAACTGGAAACAGCAGAAGTTGCACCTGCATGCCCCCCCCCTCCCCCCCCCCCCCGGCCCACAGTGGTACATAATGATCACAGGAGGGTGAACACAAATGAGCCCAAACTCACATTAAGAACCAGGTCACGTGTGGACGACGACATCAGTCCAGACCCAGGTCATTAACATGTTGTTATTTACACACACTGAAGAAAAACAAACTCTTCATGTCTGTCTGTGTCCCACATGCTACGCTGTAAAAAGGTCAGAGTTTGGTGTTGTTTTGTCAAACGCTCAGACGTCTGTGTTGTTCTTGTTGTTCTCATCACGTCTCACACAGCGTTTACTGTCAGTCCATCTGACTCATGATCCAGACTGGACCAGTCTCAGGTCCACGTCCGCTGCGGTCACTCGCTGATTCGGACCTTTCCCCTTTCCCAGCCGACTTTGTGCCGTTCTAAAAATAAAATTCCAGCGGTTAAATTAAGTGCACTGAGGTTAAGAGCTTTCAACCTGCAGACCAATCACCACGCGGAAATAAATCCAAGCCACGCCCACTCTTTGGCAAAGTCCACACTTTCAAGCCCATGCTTAAAATGCCATGTCAAAATGTCACCTTTGTGCAAAGACACACACACAGACACACACACAAAATAGTTGACCTGAAACATGAAGTCAGATCAACAGATCAGATCAACAGATCAAATCAGATCTGATCTGATCTGATCTGATCTGTTGATCTGTTGAGGAACGTTTGAACGGAAAATCCCAGCAGTGAAAATGCACCAAACCAGTGCTTGTTTATTAGTCAGGCGGCTCCGAGGTGTGTGTGTGTGTGTGTGTGTGAGTGTGTGTGTGTGTGTGCAGCAGCACAGAATGTGAGAAGAGTGCGCAGCTGAAAAAAAGGTGGTTCAGCAAAAATCTCTCCCTGAATAAATAGAGGTTAAAAAAGTGAGTGCTCTGTTGGACTTGTTGATACTCCCTCACACACACACACACACACACACACACACACACTCTGGGACTTTCTCACGGCTGTACACACAGGGACCCACATACCAGCATCAGTCATGCTGTTGTGAAAGTCACAGAGATGAAAAAACACGACGAGCTCAGTCACTGCTGTAGCTGAAACACAGACATTCCTGCAGCACAGACACAGGTACACACACGCAAACACCGTCCAGTCACGCCTGGATGAGCATGTAAGAAAATCAAACCTGCTGATGAAGGTGCACTCACACACACACTCACACACACACACACACACACTCACAGGCCTGGTATCTGGAGTGGCTCCAGCAGGGTGGAGGTCAGCTTCAGTGTCAGTGGACGTGGGTTGTCCTGGTGTGTCTTTCAGTGTCAGTGGTCGTGGGTTGTCCTGGTGTGTCTTTCAGTGTCAGTGGTCGTGGGTTGTCCTGGTGTGTCTTTCAGTGTCAGTGGTCGTGGGTTGTCCTGGTGTGTCTTTCAGTGTCAGTGGACGTGGGTTGTCCAGGTGTGTCTTTCAGTGTCAGTGGACGTGGGTTGTCCAGGTGTGTCTTTCAGTGTCAGTGGACGTGGGTTGTCCAGGTGTGTCTTTCAGTGTCAGTCTTTTGACTTGGGCTGGTAAATAAACTCAGACCATGTTGGTTAAATATGGATCACAGAGAAAAAGGAACCTGGAGACGAGTGAACGACTCGTCTGTTCATGAAACTGAACAGAGAGAAAATGTCCTCACAGTCAGGAGGGTGGAGGACAGGAGGGTGGAGGACGGGAGGGTGGAGGACGGGAGAGTGGGGGACAGGAGGGTGGAGGACAGGAGGGTGGAGGACGGGAGGGTGGAGGACGGGAGAGTGGGGGACAGGAGGGTGGAGGACAGGAGGGTGGAGGACGGGAGGGTGGAGGACGGGAGGGTGGAGGACAGGAGGGTGGAGGACAGGAGGGTGGAGGACAGGAGGGTGGAGGATGAAATAATCATTGAACACGAACTGAGTCAGGGGTGGACAGAGGTTAAAAATAGAAAGATGAAGACACACTCTGAGTAATGAATGCACTGAGAACCAGACCATGACCCCCCCCCTCAGCCCACCCGTCTGACTTCATAATGAAGACTGCTGTTGAAATAATCATTGAAGATGAACTGAGTCAGGGGTGGACAGAGGTTAAAAATAGAAAGATGAAGACACACTCTGAGTAATGAATGCACTGAGAACCAGACCATGACCCCCACCACCACCACCAACCCCACCCCCCACTGAGTCACCACACAGCAGTCTGACACACTACAATCACACACAGAGGATACATTCAGTCTGACTCTGTTCTCACACACACACACACACACACACACACACACACTCTCACAGACACAACCATCCTTGACATCCTTTACACAAGGAGTGAACATGGAATCCACCCCCCCCACACACACACACACACACACACACACACACACCACTGGGTGTCAGGTCGCTCTGCCCTTGGTGCTCAGTGACTCTTTATGTCAGTTAATGACCAGGAGGTTTTTATCACCTGACCAACCACACACACACACACACACACACACACACACACACAATGGTCACACAGAGATTAGTCAGATATTTGAGTGTTTTTTTCTGGTTTTTAAACCTAATAAAATAATGATGTTTTAAAAAACCTCGGTGAATTCTCAACGTTACCATGACAACGACAAATGTGTCAGAACCTGAGAGGAGCATTCTGTTGACGACAGGTCAGTGAGTGACAACCACAACAACAACAACCACAACAACAATCAACATCAACAACAACAACAACATCAACAAACGTCTTCATTTCCGTTTGTTCAACAACTATTTGATTAGTAAAAATGGCAGTGAAGTGTTAGCTAATAGCATTTTGGGTTCATAACCAGGGTGGATTAACTGAACTTCTCATGCTCATCATATGGATGGGATTAACACACACACACAGACACACACACACACAGACACACACACAGAGACAGTGTTGTGTTACCATACCTACAGAGGAGCTTCCCTAAATCATCTGCTGTTCATAACAATGTTATCAGGATGGTAACCATGGCGATGCCTCTAACATGTGTGTTTAGTTCACTCCAGGGCAACCTAAGTGTTAAGACTGTGCTTCACACACAAACCCAAACACACACACACACACACACAGTAATGAAAACCCAAGGGTGGGCGACCACCAGGGGTCGACGTTGTCAACGTTAGCAGCTGTTTATAAAGTCTCCATCAAATGGAGGAGTCACTCAGCCTCCAGTGACTATGTCACCTCCAAGTCACGTGACCTTATTAGTACAAACATTAAAGTACTGAGCAGAGATACTCCTGAGTACTGCATGCAGTACTTCAGTCAGGTGACAGTCAGTCAGTCACCTGACTGACAGTCAGTCAGGTGACTGACAGTCAGTCAGGTGAGCCGTGCTGTGATCAAACCCCAGATCCACATTCTTTAAAAACAGTGGAATGTTGCAGGATGGCCTGGTTTCTCTGACATCAACAAACCTGTTGTGTGGAGTTTACCATGAAATCACGCACTTCAAGAATGAAAACACTGTATGTTATGTTCAGTGTTTGTACTGGATGTTCACGGTCTGTGGGGGGGGGGGGGGGGGGGGGAGTCTGACCTGGGGGAGTGGCTCAGTGTGGAGTTAGAGTGTCGTGAAAAATCTAAAAATGTATCTGCGAGGACAGAACTGGCAGCGTCAGAGTAAACAGTAACTGTGACACGTATATTTCAGGGAGAAGGAAACGTCGTGGGTTATATTTAAGGAGGACCAGAGTTCCTGGTCGCCGCGCTGACACGTCAAAGGCCCGTGAGTGTCCGACGTTATACGTCCTTTAAAGTGCGTCGCGATACTCGGCAGGGCTCTCCAGAGAAGATCTGCCAACAGAAATTCACTTCTTGCGTTGTGCTCAGCAGAGTGCGACCTTTTCAACATGAAAAGGAGAACAGTTACTTCTGAGTTTCCAGTTTCCTCTCAGAGCTTGAGCGGACGCAGCCAGATGGTCCTGTTTGACGGTAAGAGAGTGTGAAACCTGAAAAGACGCCTGCAGATCATTTGGGTTGACACCACCAGGTGCTCATGCTGCACGTGGGGCGACGTGCGCTCTGCAAAGAGTTTCAGTTTGAACCGTGAGTCAACAGGAGGTGCAAACAGGAGGTCACGCAAATCTGGCAGCCTCCTCCTGCCCACACAGATGTAAACAGTGACACACACACACACACACACACGGCCACTCACAAAGGGTCTGCTGAGGTGAGGGAGGGTGAGGACCGGACCAGAGACCGGGGGACACCAGGGCACGATGTCCAACAGCTGAGGACGTTCACACAGTGTGAATTTATAAAGTGGAGATAAAGCATTTTTTAACACGATATCATGAGGAGGGACATGAGACTCTGAGACTCTTTGACTCTTTGACTCTTTGAAATGACTCCCACCTAGCTGTATTTACAGGAAGTTCACAAATGAAAAATATTAATTTGGGATCCAGAGGAACGACGTCCTCAGGTGTGTGTGTGTGTGAGACTCAGAGACGGTGAAGAAAAGACGAGGGACATCTGTTTGAATAAAGTCGTCAGGTCCATGTCAATGTCCTCACTGTGTGTGTGTGAGTGTGTGTGTGAATGTGCCTGGTTGAAGTACAGGAAGCAGCGTCTGCCTCTTTGTGTCACCAAATGCGGAACTGCCGAGTGTGTGTGTATGTGTGTGTGTGTGTGTGTAAGAGTGAAAGAGAGGCTTATCTGTGTCTGCTAAAAGGCGTGTGTGCGTGTGAGCGCTGCAAACCACTGAGCTCCTCTGTGCTGCCGGTTCGTGTGAGCGTCTGCATGCCAAGCCGGGTGTGCGTGTGTGTTGTGTGTACACGGCGGTGAGCGAGTCAACGGCCGAGGGAAGGAGAGAAGCTGCCAAGTGCGTCTGTGTCACTGACCACACGAGGCAACAGAGGGTCAGGGAAGTTCACAGCTCTCTGCTCCGACGGCCGTAAAGCCTGGGCGGAAGATAACCAGTATCAGCAGCAGGGAGTGGAGCGGCGTGCCCTCACCGGGGCGCGATGGCCGGAAGAAAGGTTCAAATAACAAGATACACTCATGGTCAACTCAATAAACTGAAGACGCCACGGGCTGGAGCGCACGCACGCACACACGTGCAAATATAGAGGCGATGACATAAACTTCAAAGGAAGCAGTGACGGCGACGACATAAACTTCAAAGGAAGCAGTGACGGTGCTGTCACTCTCTCTCACACACACACACACACACACACACACTGTTTGGCCACAGTCCATTAGCCACACATGCAAACACAACAGCTGGAGCGGCCCAGCTCGTCTTTTGTGGAGGCTCAACATGAGGTCTACTTCTGTTACTCAGAAGCGGCCTATCAGCTTACAGCACCGTTGTAGCCGTGTACCACAGCTAGCTATCAGTTCCCACTCGGCAGCGTTGTCAAACTGTGCTTACCAGATAAAAACAGCACAGATGTTGCTGCGATACGTTCTTCTTTCTTCCTGATGCCACGACACAAAACCAACAAGTGATAGTTTCACTTCCTGTACGCTGCTGACTTTTCACACGCTACCAGAAAACAACAAAGAACCAGAGGTCACCCTCCAGCTCACACAGGTTTAAGTGAAGAGTCACGGCGGTGAACTTACTGGAACTTCAGCCTGACTTGCTCATTGTCGGGGTTGCAGTACAGTCGCTCCAGCTGTTCCTGGGAGTCGTCGGCTACGCTCTGCCAGCTCTGACTGCTGGTCCTGTGGATCTGCCAGTGGTAAGGCAGGACGGTGTGGTGGTGGACGCAGTCATTCCCAAAAACACACTGTCCGTGTAAGAAATCCACACAAATGTCCACTAGGTCTGACTGGTGTGTGTGATACTGGAGCTGGGTGAGCAGCTCAAACACCAGGTCCAGGGAGGCCTCCTCACTTTTGTCCTGAAATAGAACACCATTGTCAGGCTGCAAAAGGAGAGGAGTGGGTTTCTGGACTCCAGTGCACTCTTTGACTCGAAGGCCTTTAGTCCCAGAGGGTGAGAGGTCATTGCTTTTGTTTGGCCTCTGTTGGTGAGGAACCCGGGGTGTAACCAGGGGAGGTATATCCCTGCCTGAGGGCTGAATAGTCACTGTGTTCCCACTTGCCCTGAGGGCAGGTTTCAGCTGAAAGCAGCGGCTGTCGGGGGTTGAGCTGGTGATCTTGGACTGCTCCGCTCGCCGCTCCGTCTCCTCCAGCTCCGCAGTAGTATCGGCTATTTCCGCGTCACCGTCCTGGGCTATCAGAGCGGGCACCTCCGCCGCGGCCGCGGAATCGGCGGCGGCTCCCGAGTCTTTAAGACACACTTGGCCCAAGCGGTTCTGCTTCACCACGGCCGCCGTGCAAAGGTTCCCCGCAGTCCGACCTGGTTGGTTCCGTAGAACAAACACTCCGTCCCCGGACACCAGAGTGTCTGTGCTCAGTAAAGTGGAGAGCATAGGATCCTCCAGGGCACGGTGGAGACATTTGGCGTCTAATTTTCTTTGCTTCTTTTTGAAGTACGGTTTCACCAGAGGAATTTTGTCCGAGAGTCCCACGATGGGCTGCTCCGTGAAGCCCTCCTCTTCCTCCATCATGTCCAGAGAGATCCCGTCTGGTACGCCGTCCGCGGCTTTCTGAAGAATTTGCAAAGTTTTATCCATGATCCCTCGCTAAACCCCGGCGGTTCTGTTTGCCAGAAGGGAAGAGAAACAGAGAGAGAGAGAGAGATAGTCATCAGTGCTAAGACGTCAGATTAGTATCCAAGGTGAAACCATGGTGGTGCATACATACAGCAATGATTAATAAGCTGGTCGGACAGGCTGACATAAAAATAACTAACTGTGAAAACTCGTCTTTCCTTTCCTGGGAAGGAAAAGCACCAGCCTCTAGACACTGAAACGAAACCTGTCTGACAAACACAGCAGAGAGCTGCCACGATGAGCCTGCAGATACCACAGCACCAGGACTGGCCCGTCACTCAACAACAACAATACCTATCACAACAGCATTTTCATTTTCAAGGTGTTGTGTGTCAGCGGTAGTGTTTCACACTTTTACACACACGGTCTTTATAGAAGAAGAAAAACAGTGACAGTGAACGCACCACCGCTCCAGATATGAGGTAAATTATTATCTCAAGAAGACGAAAAACAACAGTGACAGTGAACGCACCACCACTCCAGATATGAGGTAAATTATTATCTCCCTCTAAATAAACCTAAATCTACACTGATTAAAAGAAGTTTAAAAACTATCACACACACCCCCCCACACACACACACACACACACACTCACGGGGGGGGCAGAAATCTAAAGACTCCCAGATGACTGATAATTATAGATATCAAGTGATATTTTTGGCCCTGATGCCCAGCTCTGACTGAGACACACTGTAAGCCTGCATTAGGTTATTATTACAGCAACAGCCTGTTATAGGGAGGAAGGACGGGGGCGGGGGGGGGGGGGAGGGGGGGGGGGGATGCAGCTTATTACAGCCAACAACTGAAACGGAAAAAATATGATCTAACCCCGTCTGTGTGGAAGTGTGTGTGAGCGCAGCCACCAGCTCCTGATTAATGATAATAAATCGTGGAGAGCAGACAGACTTGGACCCAGTCTCTGTCTCTCACCCCTGTCTCTCTCTCTCTCTCTTCTTGCCTCTAACGTCATGCCTGCAATTACAGCTGCGTCTGTGAGGACGAGAGATAACGATCTGCACTGTAACAAAACCCTCTCTCTCTCGGGACTATATATTTTGATCACGGGAGCCCGATACGCGGTTGCTGCCGACTACGTGCCGCTCACACACACTGCTGCCCGAGCAAGTTTGCACGTAGGCTACAGTCTCTCCCTACACACACACACACACACATACGTACGTGTATACACACACACACACACACACACACACACTGCGGCGGAGCAGCGACAATAAAGATAAACCGAGCGCTACGGTCTGGAGCTTCACATATTCTTCCGCTGCAGTTCCTGTTCTCCTCCCGCTCCCCGTCGCCAGACTTGTTTTATCCTGCACTGAAGTTGACACTAATCATTATTTGACACAAACTACAGCACCGTAGTTTTAACGACACGGTCGTGTGTCGTAACCGCTTTCATTCCTCTGAATCCAGCAAACGGTGGAGAAAATAAACACTAGTTTTTTTCGTCGAAATCGTGAAAACAGAATCCCGTACCTGCGCGATAAACTCCGCCCGTCTCCTCCTGGTCTCGACTCTCTGCGGTTGGTAAAATGGAGTGCGCACATCGGCGAACTCCGTGTCCGGTGTGTATAAAAAAACCCAGTCTGATATGATCCGTGTCGGGACTAAACCGTGTCCCGGTTCATAGAGGCTGCCCGTGTTGTCCCCGCCGCCGCGCTCTCATTGTGCCGCTCTTCGTTACTTCATGCTGTCCGTCCCGTCGCTCTCTTTGTATCCGTGTACCGGAAAGAACAGCGCAGGACAACTGAGAGCCACAAAGAAGTGAACACAGCTGTGGCGAGAGGGTGAGAGACGGAGACAACCAGAGAGAGAGAGAGACGCTGAGACTGCCTCCCGGCTCCGCTCAGCCAAGCCCCGCCCCTTAACCTGATCAGGGGCGGGGCCTTTGGCTTCTATCTGTACACAGAGAGAGAGAGAGAGAGAGAGAGAGCTCCATTGTTCCACCTAAATCCATAAAAGTCCCCGTTTTATAATTTGACCGGGGTTAATTGGTGGAAAATAAAATATGAGGCCAAGAACTGTGTTTGTTTAAGTATAGCGCCCCCCTCAGGCCCAAAGTCCTAGTTCAAGAGAACTTTTGAGTCAGAGTAAAAACGGATTGATCTAATGGAACATCAAACCTTATTCCTGAGAAAAGAAACAGTCAAAGTAGAAGACAGGAAAGAGTTGTGAAAGTCTTTAGGTCATTTCTGGTAAACAAAGATGACATCAGGGCCTCTGACATTCTCTGGAGGGGAGTGTTGGGGGGCGGGGGGGCAGAGGAGTCCTTGGTCATGGACTGCAGTCTCTCCCTCACACAAACTAAAAAAAAGTTCAACCATATTAGAGAGTAACCTTCACATGTTGACAGTGTTTGACTTCATTGTTCAAACTGTCTTTCCTTCTTTTTTTATTTGTAAAATGACGGTAATACAGTACAGGAAGTAAAAGGTTTTTAAATGCACAAACAAACAAAACAATATAAAAAGGTTCAAGTAAGACGTGACTTGTGTTTCTCAAACCTTGGTGAGACGAAGTCCTTGAATATTTGCTCCAGTCGCCGTCAGACTCAGCTCAGAGCCGACCGTTCAATCGAGCCTCGGTTCATCAACGTGATTATGGTTTTCAACCAGTTCTTAAACTTGATAATAAGGTAATAAATATAAATATATTATAAAATATTATAAATATAAACTACAGGCTGCGGTGAGACGTAGCAGACGTCACCTCCTCCAGTCTGACCTTCGTAGCTTTTATCCTTTTAGAGTTAGTTTCCTGAGTAGTTTTGATCCTTTAGCTCAACATTCTTTGATTCAGTCTTTGTTTTTGTTTTCTTTCCTCTCAGCAGTGAATTAATGCTGGTTAAAAACTAGAAGAAAAAAAATCTAGAGTCCATGTTAAACGTCTTTATTCAGCACATTTCACAACAGTCCACACTTTACAGTTGGAGTCGTTTTATACGTAAATATACCCGTGGGTTAGTAAATGTAGAAAACCCACCCTTCTGTTGCCCCTGGAAAAACAAATAAAGTGAATTAACCTGTTAGAGTCGTTACCTCAGTACAGAATGTCGTGATAATTACAGGCTCATTAAAGCCCAAATAATGGGACCGTTCTCTTGTTCTGTTGATTATATGTTGACAATGTGTTTAAGCTAATGGTCAAAACCAACAGTGAAGGCTGAGACTCAAAGTAGGGCCTGAGGGCCAACAGGCCTGACCTGGAGCTCGGGTCAGAGATACCTAACGCTAAAATAAAATTAGCTTACATTAGCTTAAAATGCTGCAATAAATAAAATCAATACAGATGCTGTCAACAAAACAACAACTTCGTTTTTGACCAGGCAAAAAATAAATCACAATATGAAACATAGTGTCACAGAAAATCCCCGAGAACACGCCTGTTTATATTCATGTATACAGCACAGTGTGCACGGACCTCCCTCGTAAACTGTGTGTTTTTTCCATCATTAACTGTTTAATCAAATATTTGATTATTTTAATGTTTTTGAAGAACAACTGCTACTTTACAACTGCAGTGAAATAAAAACAATAGACACCAAACCTGTCGTAACGTTGTTGTTAAATCATGGTAACCAACCCGTGCTGGTACTGGATGATGGTGAGAACCAGGAGGTTGTTTGGTTTTTTTGTTTTTGTTTTTTTTTTGCTGACCTGAGTTTTGTTTTGTTTTTTATTCTTGGCTTTTCCAACAGGCTGTGTTATAAGAAACAGTTCCATTTCCATAGGGGAGTGTCGTGTTTACTGAGTCAGCGTTTCTCTCCTCCCTTCTTTACCAGAAGTCATTCTGAGGAACCTGTTGTGCTGCAGTGTTTTCCAACAGCCTCACAGCGCTCACTTCTTTCTCTGGTTCTTCCTGGTTCTTCTACGTCGAGCTGTAACTGAACGGAGCCTCAGTCGGTGTAAAAACCCCTGGAGGCCATTTCAAGAACTGCATTTACTGTAAATATGGAACAGTGGTTATTGGGCTTGTCTTACAGCGATGACATCATCAGTTAGATCCCCATGGTAACTGACAGTGGTTCTTCCTGGGGTTTCCAGGTGGTCGTAGATCAGTTCTACTCTGCTGTACATCTACGAGGATCGCTCCACACAGACGGAAATTATAATCCAGTCTGACCAACGTCGACCTCAGTGGAAACTTCTCTGTCCACTCCCCTGGCAGTAAAGGAGGTCAAAGTTCATACCAGGAACATAAACAAAGGTGTGTGGTGACACTCACGGTGACCGATCACCAAGTGTTTGCGTGACGTGCGGCGTGCCGTGGCGTGCGATGGGTTCGTGTGAGCGGTATCAGTAAAAGACGGCGTGTTTCTGCTGCTGCCTTTTGAAACCTTATCACTTCTTATGACTGAGCTCCTCTCAGTGACCAGAGACAGATCAGTTACTAAAACACTGGTGTCAGGCCCCCAGCTGGGACACGCCCGTTTGATACACACAACAGCTCCACAGAACCTAAACTGTTTAACTGAGTTACTGAGTGTAGGACTGGCAGTGCAGGGGAGGGGGAGTGGGGGGGAGGGGCTATAATTACTGTGATCATGGCCAGTCATTTATGTCTCCCTCATATGACTTATAATGACTGTGTTGACGTCTGATGACAGTCACCATCAACAGCCGTCCTCGTCGGTGCTACAGGAACACAAACCACTGAGCTGACGGTGTGTTTGATTTGACTAAAGATCCAAACATCTGAGGCTCCAACGCCCAGAACAGGTTCTCAACCTGTGACTCACAGCCACACAGGCTGCACAGAACTGTCAGAGGAAACTGGTTCCACGGAGCACCACCTGTTTATGACATAACTGCTGCTGTGCAGTTGTAACATTTAACTGGGTCAAGGGTCATACCCCATGGTCTGAATATACACACACACAAATATATATATATATATTTTTATATATGTATATATATATATACAGTATATATGTATATACAGGTATAAAAATCTATATATACATATACATATATGTATATATGTATGTACATGTATACATATATGTGTGTATATATATACATATATATACATATATATGACATATACACATACATATAGTTTATCGTGGGGTGAAAAACCGTGACGTAGAGGTAACAAAAGTTACTATATTATTAACGTAGTTATTTTTTGCAGTACCATGTTTGTACGTGTTACAAAATGTCTTTTAATTAATTTTTTTACGACTATTTTTCTTAAAAATAATGAATACAAAATAATGAAAATATATATTTAAATTAAATAATTTTATATACTGCAAAAACTGCTGTGATAGAACAGAAAATCTGCAACACAAGAAAACACTTAAAATATTAAAAACCCACGAAGGACCACGACACACAGAGAGACGACTGTATTATATATATAAATACAATGTTTCCCTGTGTGACGTAAACATACTGTTGATAATGTAACAGTGTCAGTGTGTGTGTGTCAGTGTGTGTGTGTGTGTGTGTGAGTGTTGGTTTTCACTCCTCTTCCTTGTGTGTGTGTGTGTGTTTCTACAGACACCATTAACCTTTCTAAGCAGTCATTTGAGTCTGTGACTCTGTGGAGGTGAGAGCGGCCGACTCACATGCAGGTTCAAAGCCTGGCAGCCCGTCAAGGATCAGCGTTGCCATGGCAACGTATCAGCAATTCATGTGAGTGTGTTTGTGTGAGCGTGGGCTCCGGGGGCCTCTTTGATGATCAATTCCAAGAGTTTGGCATTAGTGTATGACTGAGGTTCAAGGAGGGGTGGGGGCCTGGGGGGGGGGGTCTTAGACCAAAGAGAGAGAGAGAGAGAGAGAGAGAGAGGGGGGGAGGG